GAAAGGGAGAGTAGCAACAGAGTTGCCAAAATGATACCAAAGAAAAACTTGGAGAAATGAGTCATTGAAGCATTTTCAAAAATGTACAGAAGTCAGTAAGAATGCAGACAAAAAAGTAGGAAAAGTATAAAAATAACATACAGAATCTGTTGTATATTGGGAGAAGTAAGCTATATGTTGTGTAGTTTCACATTAACATATGCAAATCTTTTTTTCTATTCTACTCTGATTATGGAAATGCTTGTCTTATTTAGTGTTTGTTAGGTTCAGAATAAAAAAAAATAAACAGCAGCATCCCAGGATATAACAGGGAAAAAAAAAGTTTACAATCTTCAAGAAAAAAAAAATTATAGTCACACTGTGTACAAAATATAGACTAGAAATGCTTCCACATTTCTCATAGTCACATTCTTTCGTGTAACCATTATAAGGTTCTAATAATTACAGAACCATAGTTTTAGAGCTTTAGTTCTCTACCTTCTCACACCTGTTTTACATATGAAGAAATGAAGGCCTTATAAGGATTAAGAGAGTTGAACAATTAAAATTTTTTTTTTATTTTACGCAATTGGGGTCAAGTGACTTCCCCGGGGTCACACAGATAGTAAGTGTCAAGTGTTTGCTCTGAGGCCACATTTGAACTCAGGTCCTCCTGACTTCAGGGCTGGTGCTCTATCCACTGCACCATCGAGCTGCCCCAAATTGACCAAATTTATAGAATGAATGGTAGTTGGTGGTAGAACCAGACCTGGAATCAAAGTTTCCTATTCCCACCTGGGTTCTTTCATTCCATGTTGCTTACCTCCCCTCCCCTCTTCCAAAGATCTGAAATTTCACTGGAGTAAGTCTTTCCTTCTCTGACACAGGGAACAATCAGTAGATATCTAGACTCAGAAGACATGGAGGGAACTGCAGCTCTGCCACATGCTAGCACAATGCTTAGCACAAAGTCAGCTTTTTATAAATAAATGTTTCTTCATTTGATCCTTCATAATACTTGCATGACCTTGGGCAAGTCACTTACGCCCTGTGAACCTCAATTTTCACATCTGTAAAATCAGAAGGCTGGACTGTGTTACTTCTAACATCCCTTTAACTCTAAAGTTATGATTCTATTATCCTAAGATATCTCTTTCTCATTTTAGTAGATTATTTTAAGAGTTAACCATGGTCAAAAAGTATTAATCACCTGGTGGCTCATTTTATTATGAGGAATCTTTTAGAACTTATCTAGGCTGAGCAAGAGACACACAAGTTCTTTGCCAAGCCTGCAGGTGACCCCATTCTGGCTTAGGAAGATCAGGTGGATTTGGGGCCCACTGACACAGCTTTCAAGAACTCAGGGTCATTGCCATATCAGGAGGATGCACTGGAAAAGGCCTGTAGGACAGGCTGCCTCTTTCTCTGAATAAAACATGAGAGATAGCTCACTCAAGAAAAAAATGATTTTTTAAGGACGTAAACACCAAAAACTTCATGTAATTCAAAACATCCTTTCACCACAAGTTCAGAATTCAGACCTCCATCAGATGCTGTTATTACAAATTTCAATCTTTCAAGAAACCATTCTATAGAAGGGACAAGGTTCAAAAGCTGACATGCCAACATAATTGCTCTGCATTTCAAACCAAATTAAAATATTGGTCTAAGTTGTTTCACTTGAGAGTATGTAACTGGGCATATGCCCGAATCAAAAAAAGTATTTACAAACCAATGCAGCTCTCTCACAAACATATAAATAAAGGAGAAGTTGTAAAATGCTAGGGAGAGGACTAGGACTGCCTTCAGGACCTTTAGCAAGGTTTCAGTCTGTCCATAAGCATATATTAAGTGCTTATCATACGCCAGGCACAATGCAAAGCTATGAGGATATAAAGAGATGCAAAAACACAAGTTCACATTGTAATGGTGGAGACAACATATAAATAACTAGGTACAGATACGTGGAAGATAATCTCAGAAGGAAGGCACCAGGGATGAAAGGGGATGAAGGAGAGAGCAGAAACTGAGAAAGACCAACTGAATGAAGTGGAATTTGAACTAAGTTTTGAAGGAAGCCAGGGGAGTTAAGAGACCTTGGTGAGAGGGCAGAGTATACTAGGTTACTCCAGTGCAAGGTCAAGAGATGGAATGTCATGTTCAAGGAACAGGAAGTAGGCCAGTGAAGCTGTATTTTAGTGTGTACAGAAAGGAGCAAATTATATTATTAACTGTCATATTATTATTAATAATCATCATCACTGGCATTTATGTAAAGCTTACCATGTACCAAGCTCTATGCTAATCACTTTACAAACATCATCTCATTGGAGCCTTAAAACAATCCTGGGAAGTAGGTGCTATTATTATTATTATTCTCATTTAACAACTGAGGAAACTGAGGCAAATAAGTGACTTGCCCAACGTGACACAGATAGCAAGTATCTGAGGCTAGATTTGAACTCAGGGCGTCCTGACTCTGGCCTAGCACTCTAGTCATTGAACCATCTAGCTGTCCCTTAAGGTAAGGAGCCAGGTTGAAAAAGACTTTAAATGTCAAACAGTGGACTTCATATTTGATTGAGGAGTTAACAGGAAACCACTGACTTTACTGAGTGTGTGTGGGGTCAGGGTGAGGGTAGGAAATGACAAAATCAGACTTAAGTTTTAGGAAAACAAGTTGGGCAACTACATGGATAAGGGATTACAGTAGGGAAAGGCAATGCTAGATCACTTAGAAAGCCACTGCAGTAATACAGAGTTGATGAGGGCTTGTATTGGGTGAAGATAGAAGGGTACAAGTGGCAGCTTTTTGAGTGGAGAGAAAAGAACAAGTATGCAAGAAGGTTTATCTATCATTCATTCATTCATTCATTCAACAAATATTTATTATCTTCCATGTGCTCAGCCTAATGTAAGCTTCTTGTGGGCAGGAACCATCTTATGTTTGTCTGTACATTTCTAGCACCGAGCACAGTGCCAAGCACATAGTAAGCATTTAATGAACGCTTGTTGCTTGACTGACTGATTACAAGGCACTACAAGGGATCTAGGGGATATGTAAAAAATAAGAAGATAGTATCCTTGTCCTCAAGTACCTTATACTCTAGGCACTGTGTTAAACACTGGGGATACAAAGAAAGGCAAAACAACCCTTGCCCTCTAAGAGCTTACAATTTATTGGTGGAGACAACATGCAAATAACTATGTAAAAAAAAGACATATAGATATTAAATTGGAAATAATGTCAGGAGGAAGGCACTATCATTAAGAAGGACCATGAAAGGCTTTTGACAGAAGGTGGGATTTTAGCTCAGAATTGAAGAAAGCCAGAGAAGCTTGGAGCTGGAGCAGAGGAAAGACAGAATTCCAAACATGGGGGGGAATTAGCCAGTAAAAATACACAACAAAAATATCCTTTCAGCCACACTGTTTTTGTTGCTATTCCTGACACACGAAATTCTATCATTCTTCTTTATAACTTTGTACAAGCTATTCCTTGTCCCTGAAATGCATTCCTACCTCATTTCTGCTTCTTCGTATCATTAGCTTCCTTCAAAGCCTAGCTCAAATGCTCTTTCCTATATATGAGACTTTTCCTGACTTCACCCAGTTTCTAGTTTCTTCCCCACCAAAGTATTACCTCATATTTATTTTGTATATACTGTACTTACATGTGTACATGTCTCCCCCTATAGAGTATAAGATTCTTGAGGTCAGGAATTAATTTTTTTTTCTTTGCCTCCACAATGCCTATTACAATGGCTGATACATAACAGGCACTTAATAAAGGCTTATTGACTTGAACTGTTGAATTTCTGCCACCAAGCCTAGCTTCCTACCCTGTCCTCCACTGTCCTTGTATATGTGCTTATAGGAGAAAGAATACGTTCATTCCATGTTGTCATTTGCACTTATTCATAGTTTTTATAGAAACTTACAATTCTCAAAGGTTCATCATACACTAATATTATACATAATTTTTGAGTTGAAATTATATCCAAATTCAAGCAGTAGGGAAAAGGATTAAACAGTAAAGTTTGGATAAATAGTGAGGGCAGCTGTCCTGGATACTAGCTTGTCAGGATGGTAACAGGGTTCTTGACACTACTTCCTTCAATTTTCCCATGATGTACAACTGGACCTCCATTACAAGAACACTAATAAGGATAACTCTCCTCTGAAAGTCATGCAATTCCTGCAATCCTTCTCTTGTTAGGAAAACAGCTGTTGCCACATTAGAATTCTGAGCACTGGAGATTCTGTCTTACGCTTGAGATGTACACACCAAAGATTGACCAAGCATGGGCTGACAGAGACAGAACTATGCTTTACGATTGAAGATTGATGACATCAATTTTGAAGCTTTTCTTGCCTTCATCTACTGGGTTGTAGATGCCAATGATTTTTCCACTATGCCTTGTGTTTCAAAGTATATCCTGCCACAGTTATCACTGTCATCATTTTATATATCCCACAGAAAATGAGTCATTTCATGATAAAGCAGCATCTGTGGACATGTGACCTACCAAAAGCCGTATTCCACTTGCTAGGAGTGGTTACAGAATGCAAATAGAAAAGACTGCATGAAGAAAGTAAACAAGCAAAAGATTTATAATCCAATTTTATGTTATTTTAGCTACCACTTTTTAAAAAAGAAACAGATATGTACTGTATTTTTTTTTAAAGTCTCGTACATACTAAAGATAATCAGTGTGCATAGGGTTAATTTCCATTTCTCAGTCAACCTACCTTCCACCCAAGAGGTTTCAATGGTAGTGAAACATATGACATAAGCATTTTCTACTTGCATAATAAATTGCTACTTTACCTGACTACGTTCAACAGTTTGTTAAATATTTCATTAGGTCAAAATAATGAAAAGTGTAATTTCAAGGACATGTGGATTCCAATTGACTTTTTAGAGTTAATAATTCTTGTTTGCGCAGTGGGTTTCTAAACAAAAAAGAACAAGATTCATGACATAAAAAAAAAAAAGGACGCCATTGGTGCTCACTTACCTGCCATGTCTATGGCGAATGGCCTATCAGCTCTCCAGCCCGTATACCAGCCCACGACTTTGCCGTTTTCCACCAAAGGGCGTTCATAGCGCCGCCCACCAACAAGACCCACTGGCCAGACAGAGACCTTTCGTGTTGTACGCATCTATGAGAAGGAAAAAACAGCTCTGATGTAAATATTTTAGGAAATTAATTTGAGAAGGGGAGGGTCGAAGTAGTCTTTTGCTTCCATTCTTAGAGACCAAATCTGGATCTTTCCAAGGGTGGAAAGATCTCTGACCCATCTGCTACTTTCTGGGTTGCTATATTAACGTAAAATTATTTATAGGCTTTGTGCTAACAACTGTGTACAAATTCAATTACATATTTGTTTGAAGACTCTGGTCCTGAAAGTAGTAAAGCTGAGCATCAATGTTTTTTTTAAAATCACTAATAAATGTCAGACTCTCCATTTTCTGGCTTCATTTTAAATAATACAACTTTTCATTCAATTTCCCCACGTCACTCCTCACCCCACTGCCCCCCTTTTTAGAATTTCATATCTACCTGGAGAGAGGGAGTGTGGCATGAAAGATAGAAATCTGCCCTTGGAGTCAGCAAGCTCTGGGTTAAAGCCTAGCCTTGGACTGGGACTGGCTATGTAACCCTGGGCAATTCACTTAACCTTCGTACCCCCAGGCACTTCTATGACTTTAAATTGCATTAAAATGCAGAGAATCATACATTTTTGAGCAGCTCAAAGTGGGATTTTTCTGATTTGGGTTGTTCAATGGGGGATAGAGAGATTGAACAGGAGACAGAGACTATAAATACATACAAAAATAAATAAATTTATATTATTTTTTTAAAGACTATAAGTTGCAGAAAAGTGACATCTGCACTGTTAAAATTCATTGGGAATTCCCTTTACCAATGAAATCATAGGTCCTGTTAAAAAAAAAAATTACCTAAACGCTAACACTTTACTTGGTGCAACTAAAATTTCCCTTTTTTTTATGGTAATGCAGATTCACAAGTGTCTTAGTCTGGGTCTAAACAATGATGAGGATATATAGTTTACTTCCTGATCCAAAAGGGCACTAAGGACCCCAAGGTTTGAATCACAGAATCTCAGAGTTGAAGGCATCTGAGAAGCCACCTAGTTGGGCCTATACCTGAGGGGAATCTGTTCTATTAAAATCCTGGCAAGTGGTTTTCCAATCTCCACTTTTAGCCCTCTAGTAATATATGATATTAGACTCACAGAGATGCAACATTTTAGATATTTAAATGACTTATTTAAATGAATTAAATGATATTTAAATGAATCTCTAAGTTAGAAGGGACACCAAAAATAATCTACTCTCACTTGTATCAGAACAGAAATCCCCTATACATAATTTCTGACAAGTGGTCAAGGTCTCCAAATCCCTGTTACCCTCTGGGTTTATGCCTTGTTAATAACATCAGGGCCAGAAGGTTAGGGGGCAGTAACAACAGGAAGGGCTAACCTAGCCTGTTGTAATATAGAGAAAAATCTCATTGAATAAAAACTCATTGACTCTCCTATTAATTGGTATTTCTGTTGCTAATCTGTCAAGAGAAATCAATTACAAGAAAGGATGTTGATATTAGACACTGGTTTTTGTTAAAAAAAAAAAAAAAAGTCCTGAGTACTAATATATCAGGCAGGTAGCAGAACAGACACCTAAGTGACATAGTGAATAAAAACACTGAGCTTGGAATCAGGAAGACTCATGTTCATGATTCAAATCTGGCCTCAGACACTTACTAGCCATGAGACCCTGGGCAAGTCACTTAACCCTGTTTGCCTCAGTTTCCTCATCTGTAAAATGAGCTGGAGAGGGAAATGACAAACCACTCCCATATCTTTGCCAAGAAAACCCCAAATGGGGTCACGAAGAGTCAGATACAACTGAAATGACTGAACAACAGGTGAGAGACTGGATAAAGTATGAGACCTGGAGTTAGGCAGACTTACTAGTTGTGTGACTCCACGCAAATCACTTAACCTTTCTATCTCATTTTCTTCACCTGTAAAACAAAGCTAATAACAGCATCTACCTTACAGTGTGGTCGTGAGATAACATATGTAAAACACTTTGCAAACCTTAAAGCTTTATATAGATATTATTATTGTTATTACTATGACTTGAGCTTAGTAGACAATTCTAGCTGTAAGACCCTGGGCAAGTCACTTGACCTCTGTCTGCTTCATTTTCCTCAACTGTAAAATAGGGATAATAAAAGCACCTATCTTTTAGGGTTGTTGTAATTATCAAATGAGAGCATATTTGTAAAAGGTTTAAAATGGTGCCTGGAACATAACATAAATGCTAGTTATAACAATATTATCATCATTATTAGTGATTTGGCCCATTTTCCTACAACTTCTGCATCTGCAAAACTGTGTAACAAGTAGACTTCTTCCTTTCCTATTGATCCTCCTCACACATTCTTTGCTACAGCCTGACTGGCCTACTTCAGTCTTCCCAGACACAACACTGTCTCCTGTGCTTCCCTGCCTTTGTGAAGGATGTCTTCCCTCATCCCCACTCCCCTTTCCCTGAACCCCTCCTCAGCACAATGCCTCTTAAATGCTTCTTAAATTGAACTGCATTCAATTGGTCTCACTAAAGCAAGGCTGTAGGCATTACTGAAAGTTTTTAAAGACTTTTTGGGAGGTATTAAGAAGTCACAGAGAAATAAAAAACAGAAAAGCATCAACAAAACATTAAAAAAAAACAAACAAGAAAGTTATACCAAGGCTGTTCTAAAATGGTTAACCCTCAACCACCAACACCCCATTTCTCAACCATTCAGAGGAATGGCAGTTTTACTTAGTGAATTCTCCCTTCTCTGAACACACAGCACTTAGTGTCTCTTGTGACAATTGCTGTGTACTACTTCTTGTATTGTTATCTGAAACAGTGTAACTCTTGTATCGCTGCTTAACCTCTCCTGTATTTATGCCTTCTATTTCCAAGACACATGAATGCCTAGGAAAAACAAAACAAAAATTAGTTTTCCATAGAGTGTGTGTGTCTGTGTGTCTGTGTGTGTGTGTGTGTGTGTGTGTGTGTGTGTGTGTCTGTCTGTCTGTCTGTGTCTGTGTTGGGGGGAGGGCAAGTCTCTCACAGCTCTAAATATAACATTAGAATCTTATGAACAAAGTAATTCAAATTTATTGCATTTTTATTTAATGTCATCCCAGACTAACAAAGTGACTTTGGATCTGTAAAAGATACTTAAAAAAAAAAAACAAGGATTACATATACTTCAGTTTCTTCTTAAATTTCCATTTTCCTATTCCCCAAAATGCCCCCCCCACTGGACTTCAAGATTCCAAGAAAACTGCACCTCTCTTCAGTCTTTACAATTAGATTGAAAGCTCTTTGAGGGCAAGCACCAGGTCTTATAATTCTTTGTATCCTCCCAATGTCAGAGAATGATGCTTTGTACCTAGGTGGTGCAATGGAGATAGTACTGGACTTAAGAATCAGGAAGCCCTGAATCCAAATCCAGCTTCGTGACCCTGGGCAAATCACTTAACCTCTGTGCCTCAGTTTTCTCATCTGTAAAATAGGCTGTCATAAAGATAAAATGAGATCACATTTGTAAAGCACTTAAAGCTATTATTTAGAAGGAAAGCAATAACCCAATTAATACTATATTATTAGTAATATAATTTTTAAAATTTTAAACTTAAATACAAAATGAGAAAAGAAAAAAAAATTGCTACGTACACATTAGACCATAGGAGAGGATTCAATATAAGACAATACATTTCCATTTTAAGAAAACCTATATAGCAATAAGTATTTATTAAGTACCTATTATGTGTCAGACAATCATGACAGACACATAAAGAAAAGTGAAACAGCCCCTGCCTTCAAGGAGTTTAAGTTATATTGGGGAGACAACATGCACACACGTAGAAATATGAAAGATAAATGCAAAGTAATTTGGCGAGAGGAGAGGGCCCTGGTGTTTGGAAGGATGAGGAAAGGCTTCATTCTGAAGGTGGGGTTTGAGTGGAATCTTGAAGGAATAGATTCCAGGATTTCAATCTGTACTAACTGATTCTCACATAAGAAGAGAAGCAGGCAGAATACCTCTCAAAACCAATTTTGCCTTAGTCTATCAAGTTAAAGCCAGGCACCCATTAGAAATGGACACCCATTATGTGTTAAGTTGTTTCATACAAGATAGGGTTCAACATATACCTTTCAAAATCTCCTGCAGAAAGTACTATTGCAAGTCTTACACATGTCCTGTTTTACTTTTCTTTAGGATGAAGAGAGTAAGCGGGACTTGGTGTCTGTTAGCTAGAGGTAAACTAGGAGATCAATTTCTTTTTCTGAATATGTTAAAAGAAATCATGATTTGTCACATTACACTTCAAAATTGAAAGAGCTCCAGATGCCCTGAGGGAGAAAATACATTTTTGTTTGTTTTCCATGACTCAATGTTGAATTCCCAATCACATTCATAAGCATGTAACACCGGCCTATGCATCCTCTGTTCTGGAGAGAGCTTGCCAGACGTTTCAAAGGAAAATAGTGCAGCTATTTACAGAACCTCTTCATTTCACCCTTGCGATATATCCTTTGTTCTGTGTCCTTTTCACTCAATCTATGCTCTTTAAGGAATTCCTTGACAGCCACTTTCTCTACAGTGAAGGGGAAAAAATGTAACTCACTGTTACCATTAACTATAAAATGCTTTCACTGAATGAAAATGCTACTAGGCACTTAAAAGTCTAGTTACTCTCTTAATGTGAAGCAGCAGTTACAGGAAAAGTACCACATTTTACACCTTATACAACCTAAATAGCAAAAATGTAAGATTTGGAAATCAAGTTCCAGTCAGAAAGGAGGGGTCTTTTTTTTTTTTTAATAGCCTTTCGGTTCCATTACATTGCTTGCATGCTTGGCCTCCCTTCCCTTTCTACTAAGGCAATAGGGGACACTAGAAAGACTTCTGGATTTGGGATGAGAAGACTTGGATTTAAGTTCCAGTTCTGCTGCTGGAAGGTCATCTGTGTGACCTTGGCCTTGACCTGATAAGGTCACCTGTGTGACCTTGGCCAAGCTGCCTCAGATTCTTCTTAGTGCTGGATTAGATGGCCTCAAAGGTCACTTG